TTTTGCATTGTTCTCAGGCTATTGCAATACCCCTGAAGCACTTAATGCTAGGTGACTAAAAGTGTAAATGTAATTCCCAATGTCAGGGAATTACATACAGCATACAGCATATGGAGCGAAGTACCTTCATATAGAAAAATGTGTCTATCTAAGAGACAAATGCCTTATAAATCTTGTATTTTTGCACACATTTGATCTGCGTTTACAGGACTGCTGGGAAAAATCCTCATGGCTGTTCGAGATGCAGGTTTTGCTGTCTCGGCTATGCAGATGGTAAGTAGTTTGCAATAAATCCAAACTTATCTGATATTTTCTGAAATGCTTAAAAATATTTTGTATTGAATTTTTTCCTCTGTATACTCATGAATTTATCCCAATAGAAATAATATTTATTGAGCTCATTAATCTTCTAATAATAAAGTCTTAAAATTATTTTAAGTGAGACAGCCAACAGTCAAACGTACAAGAAAAATATATATAAATTTTACAACTCTCATTGTAATATGCATATAGAGACAAAAAAAGTATTTAGTCCTGATAAAAGTAAAATAAAAGAAAGCTGAGCAGTTATAATGAGTTTTGTCTCTCCTGGATTCATGACTAAGCAGAAATTTCAAGAAGAGAAATGAATCAGTTCTGACATTTTCTCTCATTAGTACCTTGCACTGGTTTCTAGATTTTCCCTTTATGACCTTCTTTGACGTGGACGTAGCTGTGACCCTAGGTAGGCAGGTGCTACACTGATCTCCAGAGCCCACGCTTGTGGAAATTGCTTTATTGACATATGTCTGATGAACCCTTCATTGACGAAAGCACATCCACTTCGTCAGAGACCATGTCTTGTGCTGTTCTCACTGATGTAGCATGACAAGAAATTGGATAACCATATTATTATAGGCGTCAGATAAACAATGTGGTTTGTACAATGTTTACTTTTTTGATAGTGAAATACTAAAATACTCATCTTTGAGTACTATTTATTTTATTCAACCAATCTTTTATTTAACCAATATTACTCACTTTTTCTGAAGAGGAACAGCTTTTGATTTTTGTGACATCTTGCATCACCCATAATAAGCCACCAGAGTAGAACTTCAATTGGGGTTCGATTATGTGTCTCTGGAATGCTTATAAACTAGAAAAACCTAGACATATAAACGGATTTTCAGGCATGAGGCAAAAGTTGAAGATAGTCCTAGTTACCTCGTCCTGCTGTAGCAGAAGTACCACAAATGGATGGCTTTCCTAAGTGGAACTGTATTGTCTCACAGTTTAGGAGGTTGTCTGCCCAAATTCAAAGCACCAACTCTCAGAACAGTCCTTATGTCTCTGGTGCTTCTGAAGCAAAGTCCTGGCCTCGTTACCTTCTCCTTCTTGGTTCCTTCTTAGATCTATCTTACTTCATCTCTGCTTGCTAGCTTGTGTTTAAACTTTTGTTATATCTAGAAAAAATTGATCCAGTATACAACATACACCTGTCCTGCCTCATCAGCATAACATAGACAGCCTATTCCCAAATGAGATTATAACCGCAAGCATGGAGCATAGACTTTATAGAACGTATTTGGGGATGACACAATTCAGTCCATAACATTTGAAGAATCTTATTTGGGAATAGAAAGAAATTATTAGACAGACTTTCTACAAGTGACTTATGCTCACTTGAAAATAATAAAAATTGGGGGAAATTTTAGCTTTTAGCATTAACTTCATCTGAATCCTACAGCTTAGCACAGTGACTGGCCATATGAGGTTTTCAAATTAAAAACAAACAAACAAACAAACAAACAATTAATTGAATGTAGGGCAGGAGTTCTAGTAAGTGTAATAATCAAGCACACTCATTGATATTTGGATTCAGACAAAACTGAAATCTAAGTGAATTACTTTGTAGGTATATAACTCTGGCTAAGTGCCAAATTACAAATATTCTTTTTTAAATTAAATTTATTGGGGGCTCTTACATCACTTATCATAATCCATACATTCATCCATTGTGTCAAGCACATTTGCACTTGCTGCCATCATCATTTTCAAAACATTCTCTTCCCACTTAAGCCCCTGATATCAGCTCCCCATTTCTTCTCCCTCTTATGCCCTCCCTCCCTCCCTCATGAACCCTTGATAAGTTATAAATTGTTATTTTCATATCTTACATCGTCCTATGTCGCCCCTCACCCACTTTTCCATTTTTCATCCCCCTGGGAGGAGGTTGCAGGTTGTTCCTTGTGATGGATTCCCTCTTTCTCCCCCAACTCTCCCTTAATCCTCCTGGTATCTCTACTCTCCTTGTTGGCCCTGAGTGGTTTATCTATCCTAGATTCCCTGTGTTGTGGACTCATCTGTAGCTGTATGCATGTTCTGCTCTAATCCAATTTGTAAGGTAGAATTGAGGTCATGATAGTGGGGGGAAGGAAGCACCATAGAACTAGAGGAAAGTTGTGTGTTTTAGTGGTACTATACTGCACCCTGATTGGCTCATCTCTTCCCTGTGACCCCTCTGTGAGGGGATGTCCAGTTGTTTACAGATGGGCATTGGGTCTCTGCTCCATGCTCCCTCCCCCATTGGGTATGATTTTTTTCTGGGTCTTAGATGCCAATCCCTGATCCCATTGACACCTCATGATCACACAGGCTGGTGTGCTTCTTCCATGTGGGCTTTCTTGCTTCTCAGCTAAATGGCTGCTTGTTTATCTTCAAGCCTTTAAGACCCCAGACACTACATCTTTTGCTAGCCGGGCACCATCAGCATTCTTCACCACATTTGCTTATGCACCCATTTTGTCTTCAGCGATTGTGTCAGGAAGGTGAGCATCATAGAATGCTGGATTATTAGAACAAAGTGTTCTTGTATTGAGGGACTGCTTGAGTCGAGGCCCAGTGTCCATCTGCAACCTTAATTCTTAACATATAGATATGAGTGCATAGTTCTATTCCCCTCTCTTTATATATAAATGTATTTACATATGTACGTACCTTTATTTTGACCTCTATAAATGTCCTTTGCCTCCTGGTTTTTTCCTCTATTTCTTTTACTTTCCTCTTTTCCCACCATCATGTTCAGCCCTCATCTGGGCTTAGTAATTCCTTGCTGCTACATTGCCCTTGATTAAGCCCACTAGGCATCCTATGCCCTTCTTTCTCTGCATTGATTTTAGTTCACTTGTTAACTTGTCCTTGGGTTGGTTTCCCCTTTTCTCATCGATGCAATAAGATCTATGCATTATTATACTTTGTGGTTTGAATGAAGAAACCATACACAATGAATGCCTTCTAGGCATTTCCAGCATAAATTACAAAATAATAGATGTTAAATTCTGTTATTATTCTATTATTTTAATAGTACAAAAAGTAGTTATGTGAGTATAGCACAAAACACTGAATATAAACAGAATTATTTTCTATAGTAGTTTGTGGTTCCCATCTTCAATATTGTTTATGTGGGAAGAAATTTCTCAATGATCTTCAATCTTGGCTACAACATGGAAGCCAAAGAGTAGTTTTTGTTGTTGTTCTTAGGTACTTTTGAGTCAGTTCCAACTCATAGTAACGAAATGTGCCACAGAATGAAATATTGTCTGGTCCTGCACCTTCCTCACCATTGTTCCTTATGCTTGGGCCCATGGTTGCAGCCCCTGCGTCAACCCGTCCCATCTAGGGGCTTCCTCTTTTTCCATGCTCTTCTGCTTACCAAGCATGATGTCCTTCACCAAGGACTGGTTTCTTCGGACAATGTCTCCAAAGAATGTGAGATGAAGTCTCATCATCCTTGCCTCTAAGGAGCACTCTGGCTATTAGTTTTCCCAAACCGATTTATTTGTTCTTTATCCATGGAAAGGTACAGTATAGTGGGTAGGAGCATCATCAGTGGGATCGATCAGATTATCTGAGATGGAATACATATTTGGAATGGCTATTCATAACCACTCTGAGCCTCATTAATCTCATCTGTAAATTGAGAATATTAACACTACCTTTGTCATAGACTTGTTATAAGGTTTAAGTAAAATGATGCATGTGTAGAACTTAGAGCAATACTTGACACATTAATTCCTAAACTCTTAGTCAGTTTATTATTGATAAGCTAATTCTTAATAAAACTTTTACTTCAATGATTATTTAACTGTTGAAAAGTTTATATTTTAATATAAGCACTGTATAATCCAAAATTATAAATGTGAATGCTAAGTCTGGTTTATTTGTTTTTCTTGTGTTGATTGGCTTACTCACTTGTTTTTTCATATAGTTTAACATGGATCGGATTAATGTTGAAGAGTTTTATGAAGTTTATAAAGGAGTAGTGAGTGAGTATAATGTAAGTATTGAAGTAAAAGTAAAATATCAGTCTTGAGAATGATTTGTGAATCTTGAGGATCTCACTGAAGTGTTTCTACATTGTGTTATCAAGAAAGTATTTCCTAAAGTATTCATAATTTTCCAGTTTATCATGCCCAGTGACTGAGGTTTTGGATAAGTTTTGAAGAAAACAGTAGTTTCATGAAACAAGTATTCACAGGAATGGGAAAAAGTATGCTGGATATTGACACATTATGGCTTTTTCCAAAAATTGTATTATATCTCAGGGTGGAAATGGTTCAAAATGCTTTGGAAAGTTAAAAGCAAATCGTTTTTAAGATTATTCAAACTCTACATCAGAACTTAATACCTATTTTAGTGAAATAATTGTTAATAGAATCAACTGAAAGCCTGACTGAGTCTAGAGACATCAATTTAAATGAAGTTGTTGAAAGGACAATGAGATTTGCAACTGAAAACAAAGAATTATATTCAGCTAACCCAAGTATTTTTGTTAAAATAGTTCATCCATAAACCAACCCCACTGTCATCAAGCTGATTCTGACTCAGCAGAACCTGCAGGATAGAGTAGAACTGCTAAATAGGGTCATGGGAGCTGTCTGTCTTTACAGAGTCATTTTACCACAATAGCAGGTCTCTGCCCTGGAGTCATGAGCTTAATCAATAATCATCCCAAGTGAGACAGAAAAGGAGGAGCAAAAAGAAGCTTCATTAGGAGACTAGCCAAGTGAGCATGATAGCAACCAACGGTGACTAGTTTGGTAAGTGCTCAAATTATCCTACTTTCCAATGATAATTATACTAATTTCTTCTAACATTGTTAATCACATATTACATGCAGGTAGGCTATAATTCTTAAAATATAAGACAGGCTGCAGAAAGCCATTACACACAGTAAACACATAGAAGATAGTGTATAAAATAATTTTAGAGTTCAATATCTTGGCATCTACTTTCCAGCTGACTGCTCCTCGTTGATTTTATACAATTACTTAAAGCTGGAGGGGTCAATTCAACCCAAGCAGTTGCACATCATAATTAACCTTCCAAACTTTTTTTTTGAACCTTGGAAACAGTCAAAACCTACAGTGGTAAATCTGTAACAAAATTAATTATATTTAAACATGGTTGAGATAAATCAAAATCGCTGTAGTCTTGCTTCCAGCTCACAAGTTGGCTGTCACATCTTTAGCCCTTGGGGCAACTGGTGGGCTTTGTTAGCAGCTCTGCCCTTCATCACACCACCAGAGTTTACCAACATAGCACATAGTAGGTGTTTAATAAATGTTTGTTTCCTTCCCTTTCTTTTTATTAAATTACCTTAGATAGATAATGTAAGCCCAAACCCTGCCTACCACCTATGTTCTTCTCTAGAGTTTTTGTTTTTCGGTCTGAAAATATAAAGTTTACTGTCTATGACAATGAAACTAGATTCCTCTCTCCTCACTCTTCTATTCAGTTTTCTTCCAACCTACCCTCTAAAAAGGACAAATCTACTTGTTCTCATCAACAAGAACCGGCCTGATCCTTTATTTTTTATTAAACTTTGCATAATAAAGGCCATTTGTTAGATCATAAAGGCCATGTTTTATTTTGTTTCTGGCACATTGGTAATCTTCTACCTTTTATAGAGATCAGAGTGAGTTTCCTTTTGCTGTAGTTTATCACACTTATCTTACTAACTTCTTCAATGTAGTTATTTCTGTTCTTAAATAGAAGAGATTTTAAAATATCTTAATACCAAGTTTTCAACCAAAATATAATCCTTCTTGGTATAATTACACTTCTGAAAAACTAAGTTGAAGTCAATTAGCTTTATTAACTTATACTCTAAATCTATTGCTGTTGAGTTGATTGTAACTGAGACTTCCTCTAAGACAGAGAAGCTCTGCTGTAGAATTTCCGAGGTAGTATTCTGTATGGAAGTAAACAGGAGCAGGGTTTGAGTTCCAACTACTGACCTTCCATTTAACAGCTGAGCACCCCACCACTGTACCACCAGGTCCCTTAATGTACATCGTATTATAATTCAATTGTATATAAGACAAAGAAACTCACAGTGGACCACAGAAGCTTTCGTCTTCAGTTACAGTCTCATATAATGTGAATGTCGTCTTGAATGAGTAGTTGGGGTTAATACTGTTTCATGAAAGGGCTTTTAAAAAGTACATTTTGGAAGCTCTTTCATGCCTGATCTGTGTAATATTTGTAAGCCAACCTTAATTAGCCCTAATTGGACATGACTTTAAAAAAACAATAACAACCAGAAAAAAAAGAAATACCTTGCATGTAATTTCTACACAAGCAATATACATTTACTATTAGGATTCTTTTAATCTTGGAATTCTGAAGGTAAGACAGTCGCTGGGTGAATGTGTCATTTCTCTTAAGAAAGAAGAAGGTTTGTTGGCAATGATAAAACATCATTCCTTAATACTAAGACAGCCTGTATGGTTGGTTTTGGTATCTTCTTAGTGAAATATTCAATACATATACTATAATTGTACCAAAAAAGTCTGAACAATAAAGAGTATGTGGGCTCATGGGAATTAAAAAGCTACTTTACTTCAGAAATAATTACTAGTTTTATATTTCTTTAGTAATACTTACAGTCATTTGTTTAGCTTAAAACAATTTAGAACAGATATTTCAAGTCATTATTGATTTGCGGTAATCTTTGATGGGAGAATGCACTAAACATATGTATGTAAACCAGGACATGTTAATATCCAGGTATTTTTATGACATGCTATAGTGTCTATATCATATAAAATTTTATTTAAATTGAGAAAACCGTTTTCTTGTAAAATTTCCCTTCAGAAGAAAAAAGAATATTTGTTGATAGAAATGGACATAAATCCATTCTGCAAAACGTGTGGATTCATCCCATCCCCATTTAATCACTTTCAATCATCTCTGACACCCGGAGCCCATGCAGCACTTTCTTCTGGACTAGCCTCCAGGGCTCATAAGTCAGATCTCATAAGAAAAGGGGACCCTGTCCTTCAAACAGCCAAATAGGCAGATGCAGACTGCAAGCATGAGAATTCACACAGCATCCTTATTTCTAATCCACTGGCCTCAAATGTTGAATTTTCTCACTATCCCTTTAAAGACTCTCCCTGTAAGCTTAAGGGCCATTTCTGAGCTATCTCACTCCCACCTTCTGACTCCGCTTCCTTCAGTTTCAATCATTCACTGAAATGACTAGCAGAACTCAGAGAAAGTGCTGTACTTACAACTACAGATTTGCTGTAGCTAAAGGATACTGTAAAAATGGCATGGAGGCAGTGTATGGCCTCCTTTACTTCAAATGTGGGGAGGAGAACCAAACTCAACATCAGCCCAAGGCTGAGGTCAGACATGCCTGATTCTCCTACCTTTCCTACCAATTCTAATACCAGTTATCTTTCCCACGATACTCTCTACTTCTCTGGGCTGGATAAAACATGCAGCAGTCACACAGAACTCACAGATCATCTCTCAACTGGGGGGTTTATTTGAGAAGTCAGCAGGTTCCAGTTCAGGCTTGTAAATGCTCACAATACCATTCTTATCCATCTTCACAGGGGCCTGTTCTTTTTTCTTGATGGAAGTAAGATTTCACCCCCACTTCCTGCTTCTCTCTTTTTTCCCCCCAGTTTCTCTTATAACTTATTTTGTACCCAGCAGGATAAGATTGACCGCTCCTCAAGATAGAGTGCTAAGTTTTTCCAATCACCACAAACCTTGTTAGCAATCATTTACAACTGTCTTATATTCCTATCAGCATCTTACCCCACC